CATATCCTCAGGTAAAGAATCTTCTGTTTTCAGCCATTGCGACAGCTAGAAAATTATTTTCTTTCATATACATTGTGATGAAATTATTAAATTAATTAGTGATAGTTTATTGTAAAGATGTAGTTAATGATTTTATAATGCGTGTTGAAAAGTCAACGTAAAATTACGTAAAACAAAAAAAAATATACTATATAATTAAAAAAAAAGCGACTTGACAGACAGACGGACCAACAACACAGTGATTCTATAAGGGTTCCGTTTTTTCCTTTCGAGGTACGGAACTCTAAAAATTAAAAGCCTTATTTCCAGAGTCTACACCATATCCGTACTGATATGATACATACATAATAATTTTATATTGTATATTATATGCATCAATCTTATATATAAAATTCTCGTGTCACAATTTTCGTTCACATACTCCTCCGAAACGGCTTGACAGATTCTCATGAAATTTTGTGAGCATATTGAGTAGGTCTGAGAATCAGACAACATCTATTTTTAATCCCGCGCGGACGGAGTCGCGAGCGACAGCTAGTACCCCTATAAAAGTTACACCTACATGTCGAATGAAATCTAAGTCAAACGAAACTCAATAAATGAAAAACATTGAATACAAACTACTTACAACTTCAGTACGAATGTAATCAGGAATCCTTGAAGAAGAGAATGACCATAATAATATTGCAGGATTATGCGTATAAAATAAAGAAACGTCCGGTTGTAATAATAATATTAAACGCTGATTTGCCTTTTCCAAATAAACCCGCTCTTCTAAAGTTATCAACGAAGTATTGGATATTGTAGACATCTTTAAGGAAACATAACTGAATTTCAACAAATGGATTTATAACATGTCTTATTAAAAATATATGAAGTGAAAATATTTACAGAAAAAACAAGCCAAAGAGCTTTAATAATATATGAAGGTGGCTTAAGCGTTGTTGGTAAATGTAAAATATGCTTTAGTAAATGCGGCAGTAACCGGGCTGTGGCTTCTTCGGGACTGAAAAAGTCGATTTATTTAAAAAAAAGTAATAAAAAATTAGACACTTTTCGTATTCTATACATCTCCTAAATAACAATTGCAAATGTAATAATAATCAACAAACAATAATCATTAGAACGTCGGTGGCTCAGGGGCCAAGCACTTGACTTGCAATCTGCAGGTCCTGGGTTCGAATCCCGCCATGTACCAATGTGTTTTTCGAGTTCAGATTTACATATGTATATTTATCCGACGTTCTTACGATGAAGGAAAACATCGTGATGCAACCTGCACATATCTGAGAAGTAATTCAAAGATATGTGTGAAGTCAACCAACCCGCACTTGGTTAGCGTGGTTGACTATGGCCTAATCACCCTTAACTTAGGGTAGGCTCCGAGCCCCTCACTGGACACGTATAGTGAGCTGATAATGATGATGAATAATCTTTAAAACATTATTTTTATTAATATCCAAAAGTAAGAAATTATAGATGAAGATTTCTTTTTGTATTTAATATAATATAATAGTTAAATTATTTTAAAAGATATAACATCAAGCTATAAACGAATATTGAAAGCTAAACAGAAAACGATAGTATGTTAAAAAAAAGTTCATAAAATACTTGTCTGATGATTGGCTATGAAAGTAGATGTAAATAAGCAAACTGTATGGACGAGTCTTTTCTAGCTGTTGACCTAAATTTTGAGGATTTTCTATCCCGTATTGTAACTCCACAAGACCATGCTGAAAATGGACATACACAATAAAAACTACCAAGCGCAAAGTCTTACCGTGGATTTCTGAGTGATAAATATCCACGTTAAAAACATATTGTTACCTTTGTTTTTTCCGAGATTCGGTCTCAGAAACTAACGGTTAATAGTTCAAGATACTGTCCCTTAGGGTCGATATCTGATGCTTGAGTGATAGTGATTTATTAATCAACGCTTAGTGTGACAGTAAGAACAAGTAATCTGTCCTAAGCAAACTAAACTGTGTGACAGTTATTATGTAAACTATATCTTATATCTTTAAATGAGCAATTCTTATATATATAATTAGAATCTCGGAATCGGCTCCAACGATTTTCATAAAATTTAGTTTATAGGGGGTTTCGGGGGTGATAAATCGATCTAGCTAGGAATCATTTTTAGAAAATGTCATTTTATTCGTGTTTTATCGATAATCAACTTAAACATAAACTTAACTTTTTCCATCGGTAAGATCGAAAAATATAATTTCCATAAAACACAATTAAAAAAAATACCGAGCAAAGCTCGGTCATGCAGGTATTTGAAAATTATTTAACATACACTTACGTGTATATCCTTAGAGCACATTTTCTTGTGTTCGTTATCATTAATGCACAGATATTTAGAAGCTAATACGTTAAGAAATTCACCCAAAACTAGAGTAGTTAGTTTACGTACTGTAGTGTTATTTCTGGAAGTCATTACAAGAATAAATATGGTCTTGATTAGTAAATGCGTAATATGAATTTGATGAGATTGCTTTAAAAATAAAATAAAAACCTTACCTTTTTATTTGAAATTGCGGCAATATTGTTAAGTATTCTTTAGCAAAGAGCATATCACAGAATTCCGGCAACTGTTCCGAACTGGAGTCGTGTTGAAGAAAGTTTAGTAAAAACTTCAAGAACATGCAATAATCTTCCGTAGTAATTTGGATTTGGTTTTCCTTTAGACGAGTGGCATAGAACAAATAATAGTTTTAAAACTATTTTTTATACTAAATATAAAAAATATGGTTTAAAACACGGGGTGGTTAGAATAAATTAACCCTCGATTTTTTTTTAATTATTAGCAGATTTTTAATTTACTAATATTGTAACATTCCAACTAAGCTCTGTTTGTGCTAGGATATGGTTTACGACAATAGTCGATACGAATACGAATGGCGGAATTTGAACTCTCGACCGCGTGATCGGAAATCGGGACTCTTAACCATTTGGCTATTAGCGCTTCATTCTATTCAGAATTCGTATATTTTGTTGTTTTTTACCTTCACAAACAAAGCCAACTCGTAAATTGTGGTCTGTACTCCAGTTGTCATCAGTGAAACTGTATCTTTTAAAATACGAACTTCTTGTTCATCTACTATTATGCTTTGTATGAAGCCAGTTGGTTGTTTACTTTTTTGTACGAGATTTATTAACCTATTTAAAATAATAAATGAGAAGAGTTATTATAATATGTTTTAAACCTCAAGAAAAACATTAAACAATAATGAAAGTCTGACCTGAGTATATCCAATCCCATTTGTGACGTCACGACAAGCAGGGTACCTAATAAACCGTTGCCGTCCACAAGCACTGTGTGCTTTAAAGCCCCTAAAACAAACTTTCCTGTATAATTTGACTCTAATTTTATATTAATTTCGTTATTTTGTTGTAGGCTCTTGCGCAACAAAAAGCTTCGCAAAATGATTCCCGCCAATTTTAACTCTACTATTTTATTTATTATAATGATTTTATGGAGGCATAGATTAATAAAATCATTATATGCTTATTTATTACCTCACAATAAAACAATTTACACGTACCCACAAGCATCTCTAACCAAGGGTTTAATATCTGGACTAGAGAATTCGCTACACACGCTCTTATTTTCAAATCTGACGGTTGGTAAGATATTAAAGCTTGCAGCACTTTAGCGCTGGATAAAATGCTGCTCGGATTCTTACTAAAGTACTGCGCTTGAGCTTTTAAACAGGCCAGCAGCTGTTCGACGCTGTAAGCGCTTTGGTGAGACAGCGGTGACGCACTTTCGTGCAGGCTGATACTAATGAAAAAAAAGAAACTAAAAATCATATGTCTAAAAAAATATTTTTGTTGTTTTGATTATTGTAACAGCGATGTAATTACATTAACCCTGCCATATTTATTTAGTGCCTAATGAAGTAGTCATAAGTTCTATTGATCTGTGAATACGCGCTTGTCCTGTAAGAAGATGCTGAGAAAATTATATAAGGAGGCCGGCGTGTTTAAATCCTTTCCATATAAAATTAATATCAAGCAAAAAATCAGTAATAGGCACTCTCTACACTACCCTTGTCACTTTTTTCTAAATCTACGTAAATTACGTTAATGTATTATATTTTTTCAATGAAAATGTTATAGCAATTAAATTTTTTATCCTACCCTTTGAAGAGGTCTGTAATGAAGTGCAAGCAGACTTCGACAGCAGCGTTGGAGCCCACCGCGGCGTAGTGGGTGAGCGCTCGTAGCACCGCGGCCGTGGCATGTGCTGCGTGCTCCTCCTCAAAGAAACGCTTCCCGGTCCACAACAGACGTATACAAGACAATATTGATCTAAACATAATATAATATGTTTACTATAAAATAAAACAATGTAAGTAGGAAATTTAAAATTAAAATACATGACGAATAAATCAATATAAAAAAGAATATTCGTTCAAAATTAAGACGTACCTAAACAAGGAGAAATCCAAATTAGATATAGCCTCACAAAGAAACACTATGATGTCGTTATCTAAGAAATATTCGACTATATAGGCTTGTTCGTGAGATTTCACTTTATATCTATTAATTCCCTCTATCAAGTAGCCACAGGCTTTATTTTGAGACGCGGTATCCCGGCAAGTTAATAATCTTTTAATGTCAGATAACGCATTTTGTCTACCACTAGGACTGTAGGTCCTGCTGTAATTGGTGTTTATCAAGCCGAACATTATTAATATAATAAAACTACGAAAGTATTTAAAATTCGCGGCAAATTTGAAGCTAACGGGCAAAAATATTTTTTTTTATACTCCAACCAGGCAAAGGGCTATTTGAAACATGTTTTGAACTACGGAGACATTTTATTATTTATTTATATTAGATTTCAATAAAAGTATAGAATAAATAGACTTAATGAAATTCGATAATGAAAGGGAAAACATTGATTTTCTGTTTTTTATATATTGCAAATAATTCAAGATTATGCTAATACATTGGCTATAAATTGTATCAACGGGCAATACTTTTCTAACATGTCATTCTCATCTGGACTAGTGTTTTTAGTGAAGACTGGAACTTTTATTTTTGGATAAATTTGCTATAAATTTGCGAAAGCAATATCTTTCTTGTTTTTCGTTTACTAATTCGATAGTAAAATAGGGGCGCAATGGTATGTTTACGACTTTTGTTAATAAAACCTAAAATGTTTGTATCACACCCTGTTCTTTGCTTTGGTGACAATATATTGGACGTCATTGTTGCAGTCGGTGATGGAGTTCCTGAAGGACTTGCCGTCGTACGACGAACATAACTTCACGTTATTTAACACGGACTCCGGCATAAGAAATTGTTCTAAGAGACCATCGATATATCTACCTACAAAGGATATTCCTTCAGATCAAAGTAAGTATATGCTTAGTACGTATACTTAGATTGTCACAAACTACGCACTTTATTACTAAAATTTTGCTACGTACCATATAAATTCTTAAAATTATAGGTCTTAATTAATGATGTCGGAATATACTTGTTTCTATATTACCTACTAAGTGAATTCCACTTATCTTTGCCCAACTATAGGCTATTTTTAGGTTATGTTATTGAAATACTGAATGCCATTAAATTTTACCCAATACTCGGTTTGCATATGATAATGAAATGTATCCACTTAAATGTAGTTGGACATTATATGGTATTGATAGATTAACCATTGGGTGATAGCAAAGTAAGGAAATTTCTTGACCAATGTAGTTTATATTATGTTTAATGTTATAATTCTTTTTACAGTTATAGTAACAGAAAAAACAAATATCTTATTAAGATATTTACATCAACAATGGGAGAAAAAGGTAAAATCTTTTAATATTTATTCAATTTAATAACAAAATATTTTAAACATCTTACATATAGTAACCAGTGTAGCAATCATAGTGTTTGGAAGCATTGCATACTAATACTATTTACTTTATGTCTTGAATGCTTTCATACTCCAACTTAGAGACATTTGCAACAATTTTAAACTATAACATTCTACTTATGCATTTTCAGAACAATAATTCTCCAAAGAAACGTGACCAGGGCCACATAGAACAAAATGGTGATGAAAGCCGACCCCGCAAGAGGCCCTGCCTTAACTCCCCCCTGAACTGAAGCTATTCTCAACTCTCTGTGCTACAGTTATGGACAGTGTGAAGTGTACATTTGTTTTGTATTTACCTTAATATTTCACATTTACAGATCAAATTATATATTAATACTTGAAACACATTGGTTTTATGTTTTTTGAGAACTGCAGCTAAGTGTTATGTGCCATTCTCAAATTTCATTAAAAAGCAATACAGTTGAACATGGATAAGCGAGAGCCATTGTCCGGTCCCGACAGATAATGTCCGTGAGAATCTTGAGTTAGAGAGAAACCTATAATAAAGAAATAAAATATTGTGGTCCCTTGGTCTCTCGCTTATTATTTGATTGTAATTGTTTGCTCTGTACTTCATTATAAGTTTTTTGTATTAATACAAATTCATACAGTTTTGTAGAAAGATCTTGGTTTTGTTAATGCTGAAAGTAATTATTAATACAACATATTTCTAAGAAATTAAGCTACAACTTATTTTTAGTTTTTCAATTAGCCTATTATAATTAATTATATCTTAATTTTCATTCCAATGTGTAAATTGTGAGTTTTGTTTTACTTTATTTTGCATATCATCTTAAATATAAAATCCTACATAAACAAGGTGATTGACATTCACTGCAATTCTACATAACCACAAAAAATCTAAATGTCCTAGTGCAAACAAAAAAATTCTACTTTTATAGATTTCTAGGGCACCTTTGTTATTGTCAGAAAACTCTAGAAATTTCATATGTTAATTTTATTCTTATAAGATTTACTATAAATAAAATGCCATTAACATCTTGCTAATCCTTTGTGCACATGGCATCTTTTTTACTTTTAAATGAAATTCATTCAAAACACTTATGTATAAGCTTTTATTTATATCTTCAAATGTGTTTTAACAATTTGTGCAGAAATGACACTGTTCAATTGTTACTTTAGAAATGCTTTATACTTCACTCATAGTATGTCCAATTTGTTTTTTTCTAGAGTTTTTATGCAAAAATAAAATTTTGTATTCAATGTTAACTTTTAATTTCAAATATTTGACCATCAAGTAGGGCTTTTTTTCTCTAGCTGCGATTTTTTTTATCAATGCTTTGTCTCTTATTAGATAGATGAAATATAAAAGCAAGTACCAACATTTTTTGATGTATGCATTCTGTAAATAATTTCATAATTGTGAACCCTTACAATGCTTTGTAAATGTAATTATTAATACTATAAGATAAACAGTTTTAGTGCCCATATCAATGCCTAGTTGATGTCATTTCTTGAAGTAGCCAAGTCGTTAATTCTTTTCACAAAACCAAATATTAAAAATAAAACACAAGTTGATTTTTAATTGCTGTAATATTCAATTTAAGAAAATATTGAAAGTATTTGAACCACATGTACTCTTTAGGTGAAATTATGACATCTCTTTATTTCTTCCGGAGATACGCTTGTAAACACACTTGCATGTGGCTATTATATTTAAAATAAATGTGCTATTTGTTTATATTACAGTAGTGTAATATTTTTTGTAACATTTAATTTCTTTACAATACACTTGTTTAGAAACCATGGTCTATCATTATTTAATCCATTTTTTTTAATAAAACTACATTGCTATGATTGAAAAATAACTTTATTCAAATTAAACTTATTTCACAATTTGCTATAATAGTAGCAACTTGAACAATTTTCATTTAAAATGGATATCTAATGGAATAAGTTTTCTTTTTAATAAGTGACTATACTTATGTGTCAAACATTTATTAATCACTAGATTAGAATCAAGTAAGATTTATAGAAGTCCATTTAAATTCCACTCAACTTTAAAATAAAATCAGACAAATGAAAAAATTTAAGTCTAAATCAGACAACATTACTTAATAATAAATTTCCTTAAAAACGAGGTTGTAGTGTTTTTTTCTAGTTCTTATAACTTTTATAAGAAGATATTACTTAATTGTCACAAATATAATGTTTTAATCCTTAGCAGGCACTTCAATAACTCGTGGTTTGTCAATGATACGAGCAGTGCGGTTGCCCTTCTCAACAATTCCTATGATCCAAGCTTGGTAGCCCTCCTGCTTCTCAATGTCTTTGCAATAAGCGGCAGCTTGTTCACGCGGGAGGCAGATCAGAAGTCCACCAGAAGTCTCAGGCGCATGGCCCTGCAGCAACTGGAACATGTTGCCACAAGCCTTTGCAACTGCTGCCATCTTAGCAATCACTGGCAAATTGTGAATCACAAAAGATACTTCATTCTTTTGATGAGACGCTAAATTTTGGGCATGTCCTAACAGACCAAAACCGGTGACATCAGTAGAGCCATGAGCATTGTACTTGTGCATTAGTCTAGCAGCAATACGGTTGAGTCTACTCATAGAGTCCATAGCACGGTGATATGCTTTTCTTACATCTTCTTCAGATACAACAAGTTTGATTCTGTTCCAACGTTCAGGTTGATCGAGCCACTGGTGAGCATTGACAGCCACCTGTGTACCAAGAGGCTTTGTTAGAACCAGAACGTCGCCCATAACAGCATTATCCGGAACAATATATTCGTTTGGTTGGCAGATAGTTGTGGCGGCCCCTCCAATAGTGCACCAAGGGTTGATCACAGTTTGTCCCCCAGTGACAGAGGTCCCGGCTTCCAAGGCAGAGTCTTTAAATCCGCGCATTATAAGAGGAATTACGACATCACGTTCTTTTTCCGTCATTTTTGTAGAGACACCAAGTAGCATAAGCATATTGTCACACTCCGTAACACCCATAGCATATAAGTCACTCAGAACATTCGCACAGGCAATTTTTCCCATCATGTATGGGTCGTCTACTAGGGGGTAGAAAAAGTCCGTTGTTTGTACCAAACATAATCCACCGTGTCTCAACGGCGTGACCGAACAATCCAAGCCGATGCCAATGCGCGGGATCGCCACATGCATAAACTGATCTTGTTCCTGTTGAGAATAATCTTGTTGCAAGGATTCCACGAGTTTACCCAGCACATCTTGTGGTACCTTACAGCTTCTGCCTTTCAGATCAGCGAACCTTGTCAGACGAAAACTGGCTTCTAAATCATGAGCTACCGGGTCGAATGGCCGTCTTAGAGCCAAAGCGTTGGGGTTACCCGCCATTTCTAATTGAGCTGCAGCTAATGTATCTTGAGCTACACTAGAAGAATACGACATATTACACGAAACCAAAACAATAATAAGCTTACTAAGAGAGTAAATTCAATATAATGCCGAAACCCGACACGCCGCCAAGTGACGCTTGCAAAATGGCGTCTCTTTTACATAGAGTACGCCTCGGCAAAAATTCACCGTGAATACTTACCTGTCATTGGACAAAACAAGTTGTAAACAATACGGTTATTCTTTTGATTGGTTGTTAGCAAAATACATTTTAAAATCGCTGTGGAAAACAAATTCAAACTAAAATCCGTTCCATTTCACTTTTTAAAAGAAATTTAAAGAGGTCAAAATTCCCCTATTGTTTGGTTTTCTTTTAATATGTAATTTATTGTGTTTTAAAATATTTATCATTAAAAAGTTTAGTAAGTAAATATTTAAATTCAAAAAAATGATTGGGTGTATTAATAGAAATCGATTGTTAAAAATTATTTTAAACTTTTATAGCTTGCTTTATGCTGTTTTTATTTATTTTGCGCTAAGGTTTCTAACAAAGGTATTTTATAACTAAAATATATACTTAATAGACAAGAAATAAATATTTGTAATAAAAATTTTAATTTTGTAAAAACGAATTTTCGAGATATTTGTCCCGACCAATCAAAAAAGTTTAAAAACTTTTGTCATTGGCTGATTTGGTTCGTGGCGGCATTAATATTGGTTCTTTCTTCTTTGAAACACCCGAGCCAAAGAAACGATTTGTCGAATTAATAATGCAGATGACTATAAATTTCCTATCATAGTGTCACTGTGTGTGCGACAGTAATTTCAATTCAAATATTCGATTTAAGTTTATGGCAGTTGGTCATAAAATTTCAAGATGTTTTTTTAGTATCTAAGTTAGATGGTGCTTATTTATTTCAATGACAATGAGTAAATACAATAAAATTGAGACAGAAGCGGGATATCCGTGTTATATCGAGTTAGTAATAAATAAACAACTTTCACTTTGCTACGGGCTAACCCACTGTATTGTATCGTATACTTTAATAATTTCTTTTTGCAGCAATACAAACAACCAACAATATTATGACCATCCTCATTTCCGTGTTATTTTGAAATCTTTGGAGAAATATAACGAAATAAAATACAGCGCATATCGTATAGCGTTTAAAGTTTTCGAGCTTCAAAAACATCTCAAAGGTAAAGTACCTCTTTGGTTGTATCGATTAATGTTTATTTGTAGAAAATATTGTAAGGGATAGTTTTAAATCTATGATATGAAATAAAATATAAAAAAAACGAATAATTCACTAAAATATGTTATTAAAAGGAGTCCCTTTAGGCAAATATTGTAATACATGTTGAAAAATCACTTAACATTATATGTAGTACGGAATGAAATCCTATATTACTATCTTCTAACTATTTTCTACCTAATATTTGCCATAAATAAGTCCAGTGGAATGTCGATTTAAATTTTCAGTGCCCCCTCTTCGAATTACTTCAGGAGTATTTGCTAGACACCAGTTAAGTCTATCAGAGAGCAGTCTATCATTAGACCCAACAGAATTGGAAGCAGTTCTTGCTGATATATATTTTGCGGCAGAAAAGGAAGGTGCCTTTTCTGGTGATGTTGATCTGACTGTGGATTTGTTAATCAATTTGTTACTAAATGTATATGATGAGTAAGTATTTATGGTTCTTTACGTTATATTAAATTCTTTAGGAAATTTATTAAAATTTAATGGTACACTCAGCTTAGATGGGTGAACAAGGTTGTGCATTCTTGTACTATGAACATATTTGTTTAGAGCAGAAGACAATGGCCTCATGATGTTACAATTTACTAATGGTACTGAGCAGATATGTGCAGTTTTTTAGTAACATTCTCCCTCACACAGCTATGTTGTGGGATGGTCTTTCCCAATGGTATATCCAAACCAATAAGACTTAGGGTGCTTCAAGAAGTGACCTTACCATCTCCTTAAAGCTAGCAATGCATCTACAGTTCCCTTTCAGATCTTGTTGATCACCTCAGTGTTTTACTGCTTGTTTCCTCCCTTCTCTTATAAAAAAGATGTGTGGTGTTAGTGAGAGGGGGAGTCATTGGCAAACCTTCTGCTTAAGGTTTATATTATACTCATGTTGGTTTATATTTTACTTTTTATATTGTCATATTGTTATTTGAATACAAACTTTTTGAATTTGTTTTTTATTATTTTTATAGGAACAGAACAACACCAATAAGAGTGTTGGCTGTTAAAACCCTACTAATTCTACTAAGTGAAGAGACAGTGTTAGATAAATGGCAAGCATTAGCCAACTGTTGTGCAGACCACAATGGTTGTGTGTCTCCACGGAGACTGGCCGCTTTACTGACTTACATGACTGCCCTGCCTAAGTATCTAGGCACAAACTGTGATCAAATACAGACTGATGTTGATGCATGCTTTGATAAGGTAAGTCCATAATTTCTTTTATGTTATATAGATTTTCTAACTGAATATGCTTCTGTAAAAGAATTAACTCTGGTAAATACTATAATACCTTGAGGGCACTGCATAGCATGCTGATGATCTTAGGCCAACAAGATATTTGAAAATATCTAAAAAAATTATAAGGCCAATAAAAAAAAAAATTGAGTGATTATGCCTGAAAAGTATGATTTAACTAGTTAGATTATAATCCAACAAAGTACACAGTCAGTGACATATCTATGTGTGAATAATTGTTTTGTTAGAGTGCTGGTATGCTGGGAGTTAGTTCCCGAGCTGTAGCTGAATGGGGGGTACAGAATAGTGCAAGTGCCAAATGGCTGCCGGTGCTGCAGAGGATTCTTATAAGAAGAGCAGCACCCGCCTCTGCTGGGTCATGTTCAGCTTGTAATCAGCTACTTGCACAGGTATAATAACTAAGGGTTGTCAGTTGGTTATCATTACAAATTCCGGCACTTTTTTAATGAAAATAGCTCTGTTATATTTTACGTTCATCTGTTCGCGCAATTTTTGTAAAAAGGTATACACAGATTTTGTTTTATCTTATATATAAAATTCGCGTGTCACAATTTTCTTTTCTATACTCCTCCGAAACGGCTTGACCGATTCTTCATGAAATTTTGTGAGCATATTGAGTAGGTCTGAGAAACGGCCAGCATCTATTTTTAATCCCGCGCGGACGGAGTCGCGAGCGACAGCTAGTCTAAATAAAATAATAAAATTTACTATTGAAACACCATAACCGGTGCTTATTTGGCATTTCAAGCGCCATGAGGGAGATTCTTGCGGCGCCCCCTTACTTTTTCGAAACACTTAAAAGCATATTATCATCATTATCTATGAAAAAACATAGTCAATATCAATGCAACTGTTCAATGAGCATTTGGATTTCATAGTCAGTGCACTTTCTAACACTTATATGTTTTAGGTATTACACTTCAAGTGTTCAAAGTGCCGTAGTGTATATTTCTGTGAGAATTGTTACTTGTATGACAAAAATATAACATTGGTGTCTGGACATAAGAGGACACATTTGGTGCATGAAATTATTGACGATGAGGTAAGAGGCAACTGAAATATATTTAGTAGTAGAAAAAACATATTCAAGTCTTAGTTTTTCCAATAGGAAAAGAAAGGGACAAAATAAACTTGTATATTTGTTTTGAAGCTTCTATATCACATTTAAAATAGAATATGATTATGTTGTTCATGGTCTGTTTAATTAATTTTATCCCATTTTAATTTCTAGGTGAATCCACCGGAATGTCTTGGATTTGTAAGCGGGATGAGGAGATTCTTCTTTTGTACTTCGACAAGAAAGAAAAAGACGACAAAGAAAGAAGTTAAGAAGCAAAGTTCTGATAAACAGAAAAGTGATAAGACAGGATCAGTTCGTAGGAAGGGAAAGCCAGCTATCTTCACGTCAACAGTCGGCAAAGCTTCGGGCAATAATAAAAGCGATCCAACTATAACATTACAAGATATTATCAACCAATTAGAAACAAGAAATATGTAAGTAATATATTTGAAAAATGTATTAATAAGAGATAAGTCATAATGTTAATTAATATTATTATTATTTTTGTAGAGCTTTGAAAGAGTTGTTGCAAAATACTGTAAATCCTGAAGATGATTTAAAAATGAAAGTGGACTCCCACTATTCCTTGATATCAGCACAGATTGATAGATTAAAAGCCTTAAAGGTAAGTAAAAAGTTTGGATAAGCTGTCGTCGGTGACTTCGTCCGCGCATGATTAAAACATAGTTGATGATTCTCAAATGGCCACAATCGGACGGTTAAAATCAGCCAAGCCGTTTCAGAGGTGTATGGTAACTAACATTGTGACACGAGAATTTTATATATGAGGTTATATCTTATTTCTTCTAATATTGTAAATGCGAATGTTTGGATGGATGATTGTTTGAAGATATCTCCAGAATGGCTGTATGAATCTTGCTGAAATTTGGCAGAACATAGTCTGAAAGAACATATAGGCTACTTATTACTATATGTGATGGAGCCGCGCTAGCACTTAAATAAATAAACTAAAATTATCTCTCATTGTGGCAATAAATGTTAGAAATCAAGGCAATATGATATGTTTCTGTCCATTATGTAATATTAAGTGAGATATTGCTGAAAATTTTGCAGGAAAACCTAACCCAAGTTGATATACAAGATGGAGGCAAGACTGATAAAATCTGTCGACCTCAAGCATTCGACCTCTTCAGTCCAATACCAGTTGTAGAAGAGAAACAATCCAGGATACCTGACATGAATACCCAACCTAGAGTTTTGAGTATGGATTCTGGTAACTTCTCCGTGGTGTCGAAGCAGACTGATGTGCCAAGGATGACAATGTCAGGAGATGAGCTGAAACCCGTGGTTGTACATGCTACGTCTGACAGTATTTCAGCTGTCTCTGTTGGTGATGTCAGTAATTGGTACAATGGTAAGTATTTGAAGTTTTTTAATCATTTTTTTGAGTGGTTTTATGTAGAATTGTTCTAAAAATATCATTGTTAAAAATATATTAACACTAAATTTTATTATTTACTGTTGGTTTCAGAGACCAAAATAATATATATTGGCAACTTTGTCATTGTTTGACAAAACAGATATAAAATATATTTTAAATGGTGATTTAGGTCTCAGAAACACACGATTAATCTTTTGAATATGATAGAAATAGAGCAGATGGTTTCAAAATTGTACAATAGATGGCGTAACTAATTAAATCGAAACAAACGTAATCTGTAAAAATAATGATTTTTCAGCCACAGCTGCAGTGACGAAAGAGTTCGAGCAGTCAGTCCATGGAGCGAAGGCGCCGGAGTGCAGCCTGGCGGTGACGGAGCGCCGCTTTGCTGACGACATCCGCAGTGTCGAGACCAGCAATGACAAAATGAGGGAGCTAAATGCTGATCTGGACACCGTCTTGGATAGACTGCAGCAAATATTGACTAACAACTTCGCTACGGATGGTAAGGTTTTATTAAAAAATATCTAAAAATCAAAAACATAATATAAAATGTCAATATTTCTTAAATTAAAATCTATATTACTAATTTGTAAGTCTATAATTAGCCTATAATGATTGAACTTCTACACCAGTCTTTACCAAAGTGGGCGAAAACGCCCCTTTGTGGTTGCTGCAGGTCTTAAGTTGCGGGTTATAGTAAAAGTTTCGTTTAGAATTATCCGTTAATATACATATATAGGTCACAATAATTAATTAATTTAATTTGAAGTTATTTAGTTACTTATATGGTTTTTAAATATGTGAAAATATGGGGGCACTAAAAAATGTTTATTCTCAAAGTGGGCAGTAGACAAAATAAGTTTGGGAACCACTGATCTTGAATAATATGAAAATCATTTCATCAGAAATCTTTAGTATCATAGTGTATTTATTTATTGACTCTTATTGCTATGACAAAGTATACAATGACATGACTAAATTTAATTTACATAGCAAGGGCGACTTTATCAATTATTTTTTAAAAGACTATGTTCAAAAAGTACTTAAAATGTAATATTTTCCAGACTCGTGTTTCGATAACACACAACTGCGTGAGACCGCAAACGAAATGGAGGGACTACTCGGCACTCTGATACGCGGAGTCGAACAGAGGGCGACCCTCAACGCGACTAAAGGAATGGTATAAATCTTCAAACAGTACTTCCATGCCCTGTCCCAAATCAAGTTTAACTGTAAATAATGGATACAGCTAATTTTTTTTAAAAGAAAATATTTTTTCGACATCTAATTTTTTGAGCGTTTAGAATGTAAGCTATCATATATGTAATATCAATAATGACGTTAGAATAGAGCGTAGTTGGATGAACGGACCAGGGCGACTGCCCAGGGCGCCCTGAACAGGAAGGGGCGCCAAAGGTCTGCGAATTATACTCTCACGTAACCCTGTTAAGCCTCCCTTCCATCAAAGGCAAGGTAAAAAAGGGGGCGTCGTAGAAATCTTGCCCAGGGCGCTAGTAGAGTTGGAAGTGTAATATGTAGATTTCCATAGTGATATTTGTTTGTTTATAAAGTTTTGGTATTCATTTGGTATAAGTGTGTAGTTAATTAAACATACTTTTTAAGATATACAGGTTTAGGACGAAAATAAAATTTATCGACATAAAAAAAAACATGTAACATTTAAAAGACTAACGTAAAAATCTCATTTAGGATCTCAAATTCTACTCAAATTTTTTTTTAATAAATGTTCTTTTAACCTTGCTCAATGAAGTCTCAAATTATTTTTAATTTTATTTAACTATTGTAGATAACAATAATTTCTAGATTTCCTAATATTTTAAGTATTAACACATTTAAGGTAACTTTTTTTGAATTCTAAGGTTGTGTTGATATTTTTAAGTATTTTGTACTCAATATCATTTCAAAATCAAGGCTTGATTTGATTAAGTTTTACGAAAAATATTTTTAGTAATTTCATTTTTATTTTTAGACTCCGATTTTTTTTTATTTCTATTAAATTTATTTATCTTTTACTTTACTAAGTCTTTTTCTATTCAATCTTGTATGAATTCTTTCTTTACTTAAAAAATCGTGATTTTATCTTTTGTATGTTTTATGGATTTTTTATCTTATATATTTCTTATTATGAAGTTATTTCTTTTGTACCTTTTTACTTATTTTCTTTAGTTTTAATTTATATTTAAAAAAATACGTGAATTTACTGTATTCTATTAAAAGCTCAAATGTGTACTAAAAACTAAGTTGTTTTATGGTTGTAACTTAACTGCCCGCCCATAGTTTATAGAATATTAATATTTTTGTATGACATATTTAGTAAAATTTTATTAGAAGTATTTTTAGCTTAATTAAGTTTTTTGCTTTTTTATTTTAGGTTAAGTAAATGAACTCATGAATCTCCTTCTATAGTAAGTTATAAGTCACAATTACATTGTATATTATCTTTAAATATAAAATAACGTTTGTATGAAAAGGAAAAAATATATTCAAAAATTTATATTTTGTGTAAAAAAATTTAGAATCCATGAAATTGCTATATAATTCAGATCTTGTAGATATCCTCTATAAATGTATAAATACAGTCCAATCTGGAAAAACGATAACTATATAAGCGAAAAACCTTTAAAAGCGAGGGTCATTGTCCAGTACAGATTTGCGACCTCTATAAGCAAAGAAACGTATAAAAAAAAATATCTCTCTCCCTTTGACTTTTTCTTATCCAGGTTCGACACCATTATATGCTCAAAAAAGCCAATATGGAGAAAAATATTTTTAATATAATATTGATGTGCTTATTTGTAATTTTATTCCAGTAAATGTGGTGTTACTAAAGACTTGATTGCATTTTAATATGTGTCGTTTTAATTCTTTAACACTTTTTTTATTTACTTACAGTGTTTAGGTTAAAAATTATTTAACTTAGTGCCAATAGTATAAGAAAATTGATGCCGTCCCACGTGAAGGTGCTTAGGATTTTTTCTTTAATGTTAACAAATTAAACAGCTAACATAGAAAAGTAACATGCCATATATTTTATAAAAAAAAATTTACATATTGCGTCTGTATAATTAAATTAAAAAATGATTATAATATTTCGTATTAAAATTATTTCCTTAATAATCTTATGTTGTTATTTTATAAATTGTCATATTTCATATTTTTTGATGAAATAAAACAATTTATTTGTCGTAGTTTTTACTGTGTAAGCGTATACGAAGGTGCCTTTATCTATTTCATATGTGATTAATATATAGGGTGTCTCAAAAGGTTACGTACATAGAAAGAGGGATGATAGAGGTGGTCACAAGGGTCACCAGAAAAATGAAATAAAAATTCCCATCTGGGTATTAAAAAAAAATTAAGGGCATTTTTTAAAAACTTAAAAATTTTACACCTGGGGCAATTTTAATTTTCTTTAAAATCTTTGTTAGTTGCATTGTTTTTTTTATTTCGTATTGATAAAGTGTTATTGACGATAACATAATAGCTTTTTTTAAATGTAGCAATATTTGTAGGTCATTGGTTACAAAATTGCCCCAGAAGGTCTAAATTTTTTAAGTTTTTAAAATATGCCCTTTATTTTTTTAATACTCAGAGGGGATTTTTATTTGATTTTTCTGGTGACCCTTGTGACCACCCCTATCATCTCCCTTCCTATGTACGTAACCTTTTGGGACACCCTGTATGTTAGATATATTTTATACAATATTAAATGTAAATAAAATCTTAGCAAATAAAGCAATTACATTGCTTCAGCACAACCACGAACTTAAAATATTTTAAAAATATAACTCAATATAAATCATTGATTTTGTTCGTATAACAACTATTTCTCTGTTCTAAATAATATGGATAAAGTATACAATTTTAATATAATTCTTTTTAAAAATCTATAAATTGGTGTTAATAATTTGACTTTAATGGCAGTGAAAAAAATATATTTTCGTATTCACTTTTACAGATAATATATAGTTTTATATTTTCTTAATGCTGTTTTATTTACTGTGTCAATTGACGTCCATCCTGAGTTTTGAGTTTGAAAACGTTCCGTTTTATGCAAAAAATATTTTCTTATTGACTTTAACTGTAACATCTTATTGCCATACTCAAAGTTACGAAGAACTTAATGTAGATTTCACATATTAAATCTACAGTTAGAGACTCAGTTAGTGATGAATTAATGGCTCTGAGTATGTCTTTAAGTTTTATTTCAAAATATGTTATTCGTTGTTCTAGATACACGAAATGCGACATAAATAATTATGTCAAGAAGCCGTACGTTACTTTATAGTGTCGCGTTTCGTCTCTAACCTAGAACAATGTGTTATGTTATTAACATATTATTGTCAATTTCTTTTGCTACTGTTGATGAGGTATTTGCAGCAGTGCGTGAGAAGATGTTTTTCTTTCTCCGTAGACCCATTCTGTTGCAGACCAGAGCTGCCGCGTTCTCGTGTGTAAATGTCCAAACCGTATTGACCTGTGAAATACAATATCGTGATTTTTTTATATCATAAACACAAATTAAAAAAAAATATATTAAATTTAATGATAAATTAGTAGTGGTCTCATTAATGAACGGCGGAACCGCAGATGCGCATTCAATTCGCGCACACTAGCGCCGCTTATAGAAATATCGTATCTTTTATTTGTTTGCTTGTTATTTTACCTTCTTCAGGGAATGTGATGTAAAAGGTAACGACGTCGTCTGAGACCGCCTGATGCACGAACTTGCCGAGTCGCTTCTCGTCCACGCCGTTCTTATGCAGCGTCGCCATGAAGTCTGCGAGCGGCCGAGACATGCGGAACTGCAATTCTAACTCTCGACCAGCGAACACTAGCGCCTCCTACGTTAATTATAGTTTGTTAATTAAAGACAGTTTTTTCAGTCTTTACATCTATTTAATAAATTGAGTTTTGTGTATTATTAATCAGTAATTCCCTACTATCAATTGTGGGAATTACCAGAAAACCGAGTAACGTTTGAGTGTCCTAGTTTAGAGTAGGAATATCCTTCAAGTTATTTACCTGGTGTGTGATCGGAACCAAACCGAAGAGTCTGGTAGCTTTGGTAGGTCCCCATTCTCCGCTTGCACAATCCGGCAGCGGCACCATAACTGTTTGTAGTTCCGCACAGCAGATCTAAAAGCAATTGAGTACTTCAAGTTTATGATCTGTCCAATTGTGTTGTAAGGTGTCTTACAATAGTATGCGCTGTTCTATATAATCGTTATTGTTAAATGCATCTTTATGCTTATTCGTCGAAGTGCTAGGAATAAGTGAGTATCTGTTACCTTGAATTTGCAGACGCTCTTGAATTTCATGGGCTCGCCTGTGAGGTATTCTCGCGGCGTTACAGCGTTCGCGAAGATGTCCAGCAGAAAGGCCCCACTGCATGGCGCATGCACGCGGAACGATACCACGTTACCGACCACCGACTGACAGATACACAATATTCAATATGAAACCATCGCTTTGAGAAGTATTTCATAAATATAATGCGAAATAACAGGGAAGAAGAAAAAAAAAACATAAATTAATAAAAAAAAATGGTAATGTTTCATGGGATCTTCATAGTAACTGGCTATATGGATAACGCACCTGCATGACGAATCTCTTAAGACTGACCCCGTCGAAGCCGTCGCCCTCTGTGTCATAGAACTTGAGGTTGTAGTGGAAGATGAGGGAGCTTTGCATGTGTGCCGGCATGGCTATGCGCATAGTCGCCGCACCTAATGAGCAATATCATATTATGGGCACTGATTTTTACATTGGAGCTGTATTCGTCAATTTTTGAGTGAGTCACGGACTAATTTTAAAACTGCTCCCGCCGAAACGAATAAACAATTTACATATTAATACAATTGGAGCGTCTGTCTGTAATATCACAAAATATGTTATGTTACATACATATAATGTGTATTTGCGTAGCTGATAACAATTATTTTTTTAATTTGTTTTGGACTTTGTCGGGATGGTAGCGGATAAACGCGGGTATATTGTAGACTGCCAGTTAATGGATAAGTTTAGAAAGTAGTACCTGTGGAGTCGGTGTACATGACCGCCTTGGTGTTGGGGTCGCTAAAGTAGAGTCCGTAGCGGAAGAAGAGCGAGCGCACAAACGGCAACTCCTCGAAGTCGTGCAGCGTGACGGGCGTCTTGAGAAGCTGCCAGTCTGGCTGCAGCGGGAAGAACTCGTAGATAAACTCACGCGGGTCCGTCAGGAAGTAGTGGTCGTCGTACTCGTATCTGACATACAAGACAACATTAAGGGTATTATAATATATCATATAAAAGGTATGCAAATAACGCTTAGTTCCTGGTATAATTGATATTGGCGGTGCTTACCTAAGACTATCCTGTTTGCCGCGGCTGCCTGGACGCGGTGCATCCTTAGCGTTGACGAGATGCCGCGCGCCCCAGTTACACTGCACGAAGCGCCACGCCCCCGCCACGTACACCGCGTTCCAAGAGTTACGGAAGCGGTTATCTTCGAAGCGGACTCCCGGCTGATATCCCGCTGATTTACTGTAGCCTTTTATTACTACGCAGTGGAGACCGGCGTAGCTAAAGGATTAAGTCTTTGCTTAGTCACAGATATGGAACACTCTCGAGAAGAGAACGAATCAAGATTTAGTGGAGTGTCAGTAGGGTTCATTTGGATATTTATTTTAATATTATTAACAAAAAATTGATTAGTTATCTACCTGCACAATCTCTTAAAGAGTACGTGGTAACTTTCTGTGCCGTGTTTGATGCCTCTGAGCAGTCCGAGGGGTGAGTCGCCTCTGAGGTTATCGTCGAACTGTATGTTGTTGAGGTTCTTGACGGTGATCCAGCGGAAGATGGTCCTCGCCTTCTCCACGTCGGTGGCACAACGGCCCACGAGCTGCCGCACCAGATCTGTGAATGTCTTTTGGTCTTCTTGTGCCACCTAGAAAAAATGTGCCGGTAATTAATAATAGTAAAATAGCTTTTTGGCGTAAATTCTAATTACGGTTTTTTTACTTTATCGTGTTTACATTGTAACATTGTTATATTCATAGCTTATCAAGTTCCCAGCTTTATTATTTTTGCAGAGCTCAGGATTTTTCACACGAGGTCTAATCAGCAAGGAAGCGGATGTGGTATCGAGCAGTGATACAATATCCCCTGTCAAATAAATTTATTTGCTTTTTTCCGATTACAGTTTTAATTACGAAAATTCAAATTTTTATAGGCAGAATATTCGCTGGACAGACATAGAAATCTGACAGCGTTTTATTTCATTCGATAACGCATTTATTATGTACAGTTCGAGTTGGCAAGAGTTGCGAAACAACTGTTTGCATTTTAGGGGGTTAGTACTCTGGGCTACTTACTGATATAGCTATTTTATCAACATCCGCGAACTCTGCGGGGTCTGTGTATATATGGAACTTGGAGACGAGCGGTGGCTGAGGGGCGGGCGCGCGCGCTGGGTACGGGGGCGCCTCTTCGCCGTCCACGTACAACGAGCTGGCCGCCATATACTCTGACCGTCGCTCTTGGATCAGTTCCATCATCTCGTGGCTCTGCTTTTCCACTAATGCTGCGGTCGCCGCTCTGGGGATAGGTAATTTGGTGGTTTAGATATCTGGGGAAAATATGACGTTCATTTAATGGTACTAAGAATTTCACGTAGTCGCTAGCATGTATCGACAACGATGGCTTTTAACTTCATGTGTTCAATTATTTGCCATTTTAACGCCGATCATTCCATTTAAAAGGTTTATTTCGTATTCTACTCTTACCTTTCATGTTCCAACATCTTTCTCGTTAAACTTTCTTTCTTCTTATCTCTTCTTAGCGTCATATTCTTTTCGAGATCAGCTCTCTCCTGCTGGTGCCGCAGTGTGAGTGCTCCAATCTCCGAGTCCGGTCTTCGCTTCTTCACTTGCATTTCTTGTTGAAACCTTAATGTTAGCCGTTCTAATTCTCGTTCCCATTCGTCCTGTGAAAGAAGTATTGTTTTTAAAACATTTATTATCTATGTTTCATTCTAATAAAATAAAGAGGAAGAATGTGATGATTTGGTTTGTTTTTATCGAACTCTCTTATAGGTGCATCATGTAACGACAAATGCGATAACATAATATGTCAACAACAATATATTCATATTGTATAAAGTTGTGTATTATTATTTTTAAACCGGTCCTTAGGTGATATAGTTGTCGTCTGGTCAAGGTCGACGGATGTCGGGAACGCAACTACGAGTAGTCTTGTGTTTAACTTTGCGTCGTTCGAAATATCTCTTCGATATCTGGATTAGACGTGGTCAGGATATTGGATTGTACCGGTAGTTATAAGGCGATTGTATAGAAATGATTTGTAAATGATTTGGCTAGTTGTGTTACATACTTTACTCGTTGTTTTCGAGTTTGTAGGTGGGACAATATCAGTGTAGAAATATCACGAATCTCACCTTTAGCTTGATACTTTATAAAACATTTTCACGGCAATGTTTCTCACAGTTTTAAATGTCGCATGTATAATTTAGATACTGATTTAAAAATTAGAAAACGTAAGAGACAATCGGAGTAGTTGATTATAAAATCTTTAGGTATTTAGGTGCATTGCATGTAGTAAAAATCTAGCACCTTTTTATAAGATGGAACCTATCACTTCAATTATTTTGTATGAATAAATTTTAATCTACCTGAATCTCATCTCGTATTCTTCTGTTTTCTTCTTCGCGATGCTTCGAGAACTTCCTATACAAGTCATCTTCCTCTTGCCGGTGTTTCATCTCAAGTTTGGTTTGTTCATCTCGATCCTGTAACAGACAAAATTATGTATTGCAAAAAGCATTGTATAAATTAGGGATGGCAAACATTTTTTTTTAGTTTCTTATTAGTTTACTGAGTCCATAGACGTGCCCTAATAATTTTGTTATTGTCGTTAGTGGGAACTTTCTTTATCGTAAGGAACGATGGCATTCGATCATCATGGAACTTCACACGTTTTTCTTTACTGTACAATGATTTTTGTGATCAGTGACGTGCCTAAAATATCGTGCTACGTGCCATTGGTTCGCCATCCCTGATTAGGTATGTACGAACAGTTGTTAATATTTAATGGCAAATAAAGTTGTGTATGTGTAAGTATTCAAATATTAAGTAACACTTATTTAAAAGTAGTAACTATACAAACCTATAGTGCATATGTTTTTTCTCTTTCTAACCTATGTGAGTCTAGATAAAAGCAAAATGTGAACTAGTTCTATTACACGGTAATGAAGATGACAATCGATCGGTGACAGGTATGCCGAGTGATTTATCTTCAAACACCTGCTTATAGTGTTGCCACCTTGCGGTTGAATCGAAGAAAGTGAAATGGTCGTTCGTTGACCCTATTGCTTTTAGTACTATTTAATATATGCGCTTCAAACAATGGTGGTGCTTACAATGAGGTCAAATGCATACACGTGAGTGGGTGTTATAAGAATGGATAAATATTAGACGCTTAGCTAAAATATCATAAATGCGAATGTTTAGATGGATGGAGAAATGGATAGATGGATGTATATTTCTTTGAAGGTATCTCCGGAACAGCAGCATTGATCTCGCTGAATTTGGCATAGATGTAGGGCATAGCCTGAAAGAACACATAGGCTACTTATTAAGTTTCTTCTTAATTCCGCGCGGACGGAGTTGCGGGCGACAGCTAGTGTTTTTATAAATTAAATCAGTAATAATGAAACCTGAAGCGATTGTATGAATTTGGTAATTAACGCGTTCAACAGTTTGTTAGATTGGGTTTTACCATAACCGGAACTTTGTAATTGTAAGTATTATACTAAGCTACAATCTCAACATACAATAAACATAGCAAAATGTAACGACATCATAATTCACTTAATTTCTATACAAGTTCTATTATTTTGTGGCATTTTATTTTTGTAGTGTTGTTGCACATCATATTAAAATTCAAAGAGAAATTTCACAAAAATATAATAACTTGTAAATGTGTTTACATTAAAACAATCGTGTGTTTACATTGAACAAAATTATTGTTTCATAATTAATGCAAGTTTTATCAAAAGTGAGGGTCGCCTACTTGATGAATTTGTGTTTTTATACGACTTAATCGTGTAGATAACGGGTACGGCACTGTAGTAGTCAGTTGCGAGGCAGCCGCTCGCCGACCGGCCGTCTTTCGTATCAATATTTACGCCGCGAAAATGCTCAAACTGGTCAAGGGAGTAAGGCGATTGAACGCCACATGGCGTCGCTATAGCACCGCGAGCGTTATCGGAACCGAGCCGAACAGAAATGATCCCTATTACCAAGAAAATAAAGCCAAAATGGAGGAATTGGTACAGGAACTACGATTAAAAACCAGTGACGCTATCAAAGGCGGCCCAGAAGAAGCAATTAAAAGGCACACGAGCAGAGGAAAACTTCTCGTGAGGGACAGGATAAACCGGTTGGTGGACGAAGGCAGCGACGTACTGGAGTTGAGCACGCTCGCCGCCACCGGAATGTACAAGGGCCAAGTGCCCAGTGCCGGCATCGTCACCGCTATCGGCAAAGTTCACGGCCACGATTGCATGATAGTCGCTAATGACGCAACCGTCAAAGGCGGAACATATTTTCCTGTCACCATTAAGAAACATTTACGCGCGCAATCTATTGCCCAAGAATGTCGTCTCCCGTGCATATATCTAGTAGATTCCGGTGGAGCTCATCTTCCTGACCAAGCCGAAGTGTTCCCTGACCGAGAACATTTCGGAAGAATCTTTTACAATCAAGCAAATATGTCTGCTGAGGGTATACCGCAGATTTCCGTAGTAATGGGATCTTGTACGGCCGGAGGCGCTTATATTCCTAGTATGTCCGATGAAAGTATTATTATCAAAAATCAAGGAACGATTTTCTTAGCCGGACCACCATTAGTTAAGGCTGCGACTGGGGAAATGGTGTCTGCAGAAGATTTAGGTGGAGCGGACTTGCATTGCCGACAATCCGGTGTCACAGATCATTACGCTCAAGATGATGAACACGCCCTACACCTGGCTAGGAATGTCGTCGCTAATTTGAATTGGAATAATGATCAGAAAACTAGAATTTATACTCAAAAAGTTGAGGAACCGGTTCACGATATAAACGACCTTCACGGTATAGTCGGAGCAAATATTCAGAGACCTTTTGATATTAGAGAAGTTATCGCTAGAGTGGTCGATGGAAGCAGGTTTCACGAATTTAAGCAATTGTACGGCGAGACTTTAGTATGTGGGTTTGCTTCTGTATATGGTCATCCAGTGGGTGTGATAGGAAATAATGGAGTTCTGCAATCGGACTCAGCTCTGAAAGGCGCTCATTTTATTCAACTTTGCGCTGCTCGTAAGATTCCCCTACTGTTTCTTCAAAATATTACTGGATTTATGGTCGGTAGAGAAGCCGAAGCCGGTGGTATTGCGAAAAACGGAGCTAAAATGGTAACCGCTGTGAGTTGCTTTAAAGGTCCTAAAATAACAGTCCTCGTCGGCGGTAGTTTTGGAGCTGGAAACTATGGAATGTGTGGGCGAGCGTACTCACCTAATTTCCTTTACATGTGGCCTAATGCCAGGATATCAATTATGGGTGGACCGCAAGCAGCTACAGTCTTGTCTCTAGTTGCTAAAGACAAAGCTGAAAGAGGCGGTAAGCCGTGGACTGATGAAGATGAGAAGAAAATTCGTGCTCCGTTGGAAGCTCAGTTTGAGAGAGAAGGATTGCCATACTTCAGTACGGCGCGGCTTTGGGACGATGGTATCGTGGCTCCACAGGACACCAGGAAGGTGATAGGTCTCAGTTTATCAGCGGCATTGAACGCACCGTTTAGAGACAGCAAATTTGGAGTGTTCAGAATGTGATTTGATAATTTTAGTTGAACGCTCCTAAAATGAAATGTAATCTTATGGTGACGTATTGTGTGTCGTAACAGTTCACTTATTTATCTTATCATTGAGTGTTGCAAATGTTTAATTTGATTTCAGTGAAGGTGACTTGATTACATTATTTTAAATATATTATAATAGTTAATTGTGGTATGTAAATTTTCGTGTATTGCTCAGTTGTCAAATAATGTGTGGTGTTAAAGTTTTACGTATTGAAATGGTGTTAACACACCGAGAGGTGGCATGTGATTTCTTAAGGAAAATATACAGAAAATTTGATAATACATTTGACAATGATTGTTTGTATGTATATTTCTACGGAACGGTTATTAATTTAAGTCTTACATCAAGTATTCCTTGAAGATCTAAACTTTTATTTAAATTTCAATCCACGTGGCATGATAATTTCATTTTATTCCTTTTTAAGAGTTTTATTTAGAATTTTTGATTTAGTATAACGATTTGCGATGTTTTACTCGTAAACTACCACATTATTGTATATGTTAATTATGTACTAGTTTATAGTTTGGACTAGTTGTGATAAGAGAACAACTATTTACATTTTAAGCTGTTGCTTAAATAACGATAATTTGTTACTATAATTTGTGTTATACTCCACATTTACTTTTGTCGTATCGTATCGTATTATTTTTTTTAATTCTTGTGTATAGTAATAAAGAACTGATTTTCTATAAAATTAGTTTTCTTATAAGCTAGAAATTACACCAATAAACTAACATATCACAAATAGCCGATATTTGTGTTATTCATAAACTATTAAAGATAAACGAAAAAAAAAAGGCGGCGTAGAAATCTTGCTCATGACACTAGTAGGGTTAAAACTGTTACTAGCTTCAGCAGTGGAGGCTTACGGTCCGAATGATAAAATTGATGGAATGCCTCATCATCACCAGCACACTATACGTACCCATTGACAGCCTCGGAGCCTAACCTAAGTTAACAGTGACTAGGCCATAGTCAACCACTCTGGACCAGTGCGGGTTAGTTGACTTCACACATATCTTTAAATTTCTTCGCAAATATGTACAGGTTACATCACGATGTTTTCCTTCACCGTAAGAACGTCGGATAAATGTGAATGATAAATCGAAACGAAATCGACACATTGGTACATGGTGGGATTAGAAACTAGGTCCTGTAGATTAAAACTGCTTATCCCCTGAGCCACCGAGGCTTTGTAGCGAAGTAACATTTGTAAATACTTAAAACGGAACGTATTTCCAATGGTACCATGTGTGTTCAGTATTGCCGGCAATCAAGAGTACCGTACATATTTTACGCTTTCCAGACTCGCCACGGTGGTCGACTGTTCGTAGTTTTTTTTTTAAATAGCATTCTTCACTAGAAATCCAATCTGTTATAAGAGCTATTACCGTAGTTAATTGTCGATTTGTATGCCGATTGCACATGCCCGACCTGCTTTGGTGCTTCTATTTTATTTGTTCTTGTGTATGTATTATGAGACTCATTTTTCAAATTGCAATATGATTTCTGTGTAAAAATTTAGTTCTATGTCCTTTGTATCCCCACATGTTATCAAATGGGTTTGTGGTTAAGCGCTAGTTTATTCGTTATAAAAAATGTGTTTTTAAATACTTTTAGAAGAATATAAGGGAATGGAATGAGGCTGTCAGTGTCCACAAAAGTCGACTGAGATCTCACGCGAGGGACTGCTAAATTTAGAGAAAAATCTACTTTATTAGGCTGCTTAAGGAACCATTTGTGGCAGAAAAACGATAAAAAATTGTCTCATATTTCTGATGGTGAGAATGATTGCCGCGTTGAAGCCTAAGTTTATATTAAGTATTGTCTAGGTCCACTACTGATAAAATAACCAAGAATGTTAAAAATAAATAAACATATCTATTGTGATT